GCATGAAATGAGTCTCACATTGCTTCTTCACACCGGTTGGTCTTAGGACTCTTACAGAAGCGACATTCTCCACACTGGAGTAGGAAAAGAGGAATTACTTTGTCTCCTGGAAGACAGAAAGCATTGAGCCTCATTTACAGCATGTATACACAAATCCATACGTAACCTGTCAAACATTTCACATCCACAGAGGATGACAAACATTTCACATAGCACCTAACTTGTTTATGCTCCATGAACAAATTTAGAAGTGTTTCTGACCTTGCGTATGAACAAATTATGAAAGTCTGAACATTTTTAAACTCCATCCATTCCAGCATGAATTTGTTTTCAAAACACTGCAAGATAAAATATCCTTAAAATTCTAAAATATAAATTTCTTGTACAGAAAAGAATACTAAATGAAACATTACCTTTTTGTCTTATAGTTGCTTGCATTTTTGTTGCAGATTTGTTACAGACTTTAGACACAGGATTGACATGAGTCTTATTTCTCTCTTGCACAAAATGCAAATAAGCATATTTTTAGATGTTAAACAATCTCAAACAAACCTGGCTGAAATTCCGTCACTCCCAGCCCAACACTCTCTACAATGCCGGCTGCCTCATGACCGAGGATGGTTGGGAAGAGCGATTTGTCCAGACTCTCATAAAGGAAGTACAGGTCTGAATGGCACAGAGATGTTGCCACAATCTACAGCAAATATGACGGTAAAAGAAGCACTGAATGAGATTATAGGAGTTTAGTTGTAGAAAAGCGTAAAGAACATACATGCATACAAGAGCATCAAAGCCGGCTGCTTCTTACCTTAATGCGGACCTCATTGGCCTGGGGTGGGGCTACCTCTATTTCTTCAATCACCAGAGGCTTGCTAGATTCCCAGGCCACTGCTGCCTTGCACTTGATGACCTTAAATGGCAGAGTTACAATATTAAAATTATCCACCAAGGTCATTTCTGTAAACCAACTTAACAGAGCAGATGGAGAAATTTAAATAAAAATCTTTAAATATGCAA